GTACAAGCGGCCGTACCTGGGAGGCACAGGTAAATAAAGTCCCAACAGCCCGCCAGGGGCTAACCCTGCAAACGGCCTCTGCCCGGCGGGCCACTCATCGCCCACCCCCGTGGTAGGTCCTGGCTAGGTAAGCCCGCAATCTGATGAGCCTGTAGCAGCCGCCCCCGGTTGTAAGTTACCGCCAGAGCGAATGCTGCAGTGACTTACCCGCTGACAGGTAACCCAAGATGCTAGTTTGCAGCAGCAGAGATTTGACAAGAGGCGCACCAGCAGGCGTCTGGCCACGAGAAGGCCGAGGGGGCTAGTGGACGTATATGCGGATACGTTTACGTTCATCTGACTAATCCCGACCAGGAGCAGGAGGAGGGTGAGGAGACACGCACAAGGGAAGGGGGATTTTGCGTGAGGCAGAGCGGCCTCCCAGGCCACCACAAATGAGCATGATGCTGGTGAAGAGGGAGATGACTTTTTGCAAGGGCGGGCGTGGCTAGGCAGATGTCCAGATGCGCGTTCTGGGTTGTCTGTGTCGACCCTGCTGGGCGGGAGTGGTTGTAGCTTTGCTCGCTGTCCAAACAAAATCACTGCCAAAGTGTGAATAGGAGCAGAGCCATTGTGCATGTCGGGGGTCCCGACAAAACTTTCATTGTAATGATACTCGGCCTGGTCCGGGGACGAGAACCTCCCACGCCTCGGAGCGTCACTTGGGAATTTTAAAGGCATCAAGGCAATGAATACACAATCAGTAGATTAGGCAACACCTCTAGAGCTCCCAACAGTTGAGCGTAATACACACGCACACACGGAACTTAATGGGACAGGTAGCGAACAAAACCCATCAGACCCTGGCCTTGCGGCCTGCGTTCCTCCCACGCCTTCATCTGCTCGGATTATGAGCCTTCTCTCCGGAGCGAGCTGTAGGACACCTGGCAACATCCTTATTTTAACAGCGTTTGCCTCTTTACATGGGCCTCCCAGACACACGGGTATTTTCTGACTCCGCCGCCAAGAGGGCGGGACGGCATTACAGACACCGGCTGGGTGTGGGGCTGCTTCAGCTTTAGAAGTTCTTGCTTCTGCGATTGTTATGGACGCTCGTGGAGTAATGGACGTTGATTGCGGTTTCTGTTATTGGCCCAGGTTGGACCTCTCTGATCCGGCACCCTCGGGACCTGACTGGTCACGAACAAGGACATTTGCCAGACCGGGGAGGTCCCCTGGCACCAGCCCCCCAGCCCGCTGCCCCTTCCCATCACTGGCTCCACTTCGGCCCCCGGCAGTCCCCCTATTTCCACCTGAACTTCTGGCTTGGTCCTGGCTCTGCTGCTGGCTCCAGCCCTGGCCCCCAGACCCCACTGGGCTGCCGGATGGCTCTGGCCTCAGACAGAATACCAGATGCTGGCCCCAGTCCCACGGCCGCTGACTCTCCTGCAACGAGGCTTCTGCCCGGAGTTCTGTGGTCTAGGGTGGAGCACGGATATTGCCAGACTCCCAGGTTTGCGAGGTGCAGCCGGGATAGCGGTAGTGTAGAGCACCCCCGTCGAGGCCTGCATGGAGAATCCCAGACCAAACGGACGATCCCTGCCCCAGAGAGAACATGAGCACAGAACGGCCAGACTGGGTCAGATCATGGGTCCATCGCGCCCAGTGTCCTGTCTGCCGACAGTGGCCAATGCCAGGTGCCCCGGAGGGAGGGAACAGAACAGGGAATCCTCACGGGATCCCTCCCCCTGTGGCCCATTCCCAGACACACAGAGGCTGGGGGCACCCTCCCTACCCATCCTGGCTAACAGCCATTGATGGCCCTAAGCTCCATGAGTCTATCTCCCTCTTTTTTGAACCCTGGTCTTCACCTTCCAGACTGTGCGCGACACAGACCGATGCGGGGAGCACAGGGAAATCCCACGGTGCTGGCAGGCGATTTCCCACCTGTTCATTGTCCAGGCTGTGCGGGAACAATGCCTGAGCCAAACCGCTGCTCTCCGGCCCATGCCAGTGCGGGTTTCCCCGCCACTCCAAAATGTCCTTTACTCTGCCCGCCAGTACAGCCAGCCTTTGTGGGGTCTCCGTGTTGACTCCTCTAGCCAAGCGCTCCTTCCTTTTCCCGCCCGTCCCGTCGGCTGCTCTGACTCCTTTGCTCCTGCCCCTGCAGTACTACGACGGCACCTTCCCATCCACGAAAGAGCAGAAGAGCTTTGAGCGGAGCGTCTTCACGAAGACCCACAAGACGGACAGTAAGTAGCTGAGTCTGGGGTAGGCCGCCGGGCGACGGAGAAGAGGGTTTTCCGAGCTGCTCCTTTAGGCCCTAGGCGGCTTCGGTCAGCGGCTGTCTGAGCGCTGCCAGCTGTGTGTATCCCTCGGGGTGTGGGGTAGTGGCTTCCTGCCTTGGGCACGGCAGTGCAGGCAGGAGTCATGCCAGCGATCGTGCCCGAGTGGGGATGCTCTCGTATCACTCACGCAGTCGTGCGAGGACGCTGGCGGGGCCGTCTCACGTCCGTGCAAACCACCGCTAGTGCACAAGCAGCAGGCGCGCTGCCTGTGCTGAGGCCTTTTTCTGGAACGGCGCCGTTCACGACGCTGCCTCCAAGGGTGGGCAGAGCAGTGGGCCGGTCTGTCCTCTCTGCCCGCGTGGGAGCCTCAGGAATCCCAGAATGCCCTGGGACTGGCAAATGAGCATCAGCCTCGCCACGCTGGGCACCCCAGGGGGTCACCAGGAGACAGGAGAGGGCTGGGAACAAAGCATTTGGTGGCACCACCCGCTGCCCTATTCTCGGGGACAGGCCAGGTTTGCCGTCCCCTCCCCGTCTGGATGGCGTGATCCAGAACTCTGTGCTCAGCGCCAGCCTAACGCCCCCTCCCCGTGCCCCCCTCCCTTGTGCCAGGTGAGATCGCCTTTCTGGAAGGGCTGACCATCGTCTATAAGAGCAGCATCGACCTCTTCTTCTACGTGGTGGGGAGTTCCCAGGAAAACGAGGTACCCCCGCCCCCGAGGCGCAGGAGGGCCGGCTCCGTGCTGGGCGGGTTTCTCTTTCCCCACTCGGCTTGCCCGGCGGGCGGGAGATGCTCCGGCCCCGCCTCTCGCCCTGTCCCCGAGAGGTTTGGGGAGGGATTTGTCTCCTGCTTCTCGATGGGCCCAGGGTCCTGCGGCGTGAGCGTGTCCCTGGGGGATGCTGCTGCCGGCGGCGCGGCTTTGCTGTCCGCCAGGCACCCGGGGCTGCTGGCGCGAGTGCGTTGGTCCGTCCAGACGGGCAGCACTGACCGATGTCTCCTCCTCCTGCAGCTGATGCTGGTGGCCGTTCTCACCTGCCTCTTCGACTCCCTCAACCACATGTTACGGTGAGCGCCTGGCTGCAGCCCTCTCCCGGCCACAGCTCCCGCCTGGGCCTTGCCCCGCACCCCTCCGTTCGAGGTCTCCAAGCCCCGTGCCCACGCGCAGGAATCAAGGAGGCCGTGTCTGCGCAGGGGGCACTCCCAGGCGTGAGCTGGCCTCCAGCGGC